ATCTTGCAGCACTATATTATAATTTCAGTGTGACCAATTTACTTCATTATCAATCTTCTACAGTTTAAAGTATTTTTAGAAAGAAACATTATATAAATAATTACAAAAGATTATACACTGTTAGAAAGACCTTTAACCTTTATCAAATTAAAAAAGTTAATTAAATTATACCTTTTCGTGAAGGTTAAAGACCTTTTTTTAGCTATGGAGATCTATAGCTACAATAAAATTTTCTATGTAGCTCTTTTTATTTTATTTTTCTAAAAAGCACTTGAAACTGTATAAGTGCTTAATATAAAATTAACAAGAATGGTTCGCCATCATCTATTTTGTATATTGTAAAATGTAAAAGAATCAGAGTTTTTCTTTCGGATACTATTCTGTTTTTTCTATCATGGGTATAGAAGAGTTTTGAGAACTAACTGGGTTGTTTAGATCTAAAAGTATAGTTTCAGAAGTAATTGGGGTAGATCATTTCTGAAACACAATCATCATTTGGACGATTATAGTATTTGTCAATGGCATCATCCCAATATGGGATTTTATTATCTTCATTGTCATCATTACCATTATCATTTCTACAATGTAATAGATGTATAGGCTTAACAGATCTAAGTCTTAATTCTGAAGGAGCAAAAGGAAGGTAATGGATGGAGACAGAGCATCTTGTTAATAGATATTGAAGTAAGAGAATCATTAACTCCATAGTGCCAAGTCGTCGTACTATAATATGTTTTTTATAATTATTCGCTTCCTCAATATTAAATAATTCAGAGGGTTCAGATTTTGTAACATATTTGGTTATGTATTTGGCGAACCCAGTAGAAGTAACATATTGGAAATTAATATGTCCTCGCCATATTAATAAGGTTTCGGAGTTATAGGGTACAACCATTTTATCTTCTTCCTTTATGTGATGGTATATATAATGCAAAGAATTTGGGCAACAGTAAGTTGTTTGAGACAATGGTTGTGGAAAACCTTTGGAACATGGAGTACCATTAGGACCTGGGCCACCATATCTATGATCACAGTGGTAGATTTGAAATGATATACTAAATTATATAGTTCAGGTTCATTGGTAGGATCAGGAATATCAGCACGGATTATGTTTAAAGAAATTAATTCAGGAATTTTTTTTTGGGTGTATACAAATCCGTGAGTATGAATTGTTCCCTGATTCTGAAATTCATCTCGTTCAAAAAATGCTCACATTTTCCCCATCTAGAAAGACTAGAATTTTTCCAAAAGTTATTATGAATGTTGGTAAGATAGTTATGGTAAAAAAGATAAGTATGTAAGGGACGATTAGTAGGTAAAGTATCACCATTATCAGTTGAGCATAATATATGATGTAAATGGGGCCGTTTATCTTTCGACCTGTAATAGTCATTGTATATAAGATTTGAGGTAAACCATAAGAACTTATCATTGTATTAACCTGATATTGTTTTTGTTGAAAAAAAGGTGCAGCAGTTCTAAGAAAGGTAGGGATAGTAGTGGTTAAAGATTCATCTAATATAGAGTAGTCATGATAAGAACTTCCAGTTATTAAATCAGCTCATGTTGGGTGATAGTCACGATTAACTTTTTTAGTTGCAAGTATATGGTTTTGATTTTGAAAGTTTCTTTTTTTTTCTAAGTTTAAGTATGACCAGTGAGGCCAATACCAATGTAAACAAAATCTAGAATCAGGACAAAGCATTCATAATTTAATATATTTTCTGTAACTTTCAACTGAAGGTTGAAAGTTTAGAAGTAGTTTTAAGTGTTCATAATGACCATGGCCATTTGAAAATAAATCAAGAAACATTAAAGCCTCAAGGTTTGAATTATTAAATAGGATAGATGAGTTAATGTTATTATTATTGAATGATCTAGCTATTAACCTTGTGTATCGAGAATCTTCTTTATGAAATTCCTGAGGAAAAGAAGTATTTGGTATGATTAAGTCAAGAGGATGGGGTAAGATATTAGTGATATTGCTGCAATATATATTAGGAGGTGTGTCATTGATAGAGGTAGAATTTCTAGCAATTGGTAGAGGTATAGGAATAGGAGCTGTGAGGAATGAATGCGATATAGTAATATGAGACATATATTCTTGTATAAGATGATTTTCATATTTTAGCCATTCAAAAGCAGGTATTAGTGAATGATGAAACCAAGATAGAGGTTCATTTGTGTTTAAGTAAGCCCCAATCATTCCAGAGTATAATTGTAAGGTTCTATAATTATTAGATAGGCCGATAGTTCTTTCTAAATGACAATAATTTGTATAAGGATTTGTTCCTGTTGCACAACCAAGAGAGCAATTCATAAAGATAAGAGAAAGATATTTCTTGTGAAATATAGGAACATTATGGATTTAAGAAGGAATTTGAGAAAGGATTAGAGGGTGTTGCCTAGTTCTTTCATTTTTACAGCCATTATATACTGCTACTTGTTTATTGTTTTGAGCATTTATTCGGGTATATACAGGGATTTGAAAAGCCTGGAGTAGGGTATAAGAAGCATTTTCATCATAGGGTATCCATTTAGTAGAAGAAGATTGCATAAGCATTGAACAGTATGTGCAGGGAATATTTGGGTAATCTGGTAAAATTTTAGTATTAAATTTATTTGTAAAAAGTTGGAATGCAGGTGTTAAATGTTGATAAGAAAAGTTAGGCAAATTATTAGAAGTAGAGTACAAATTAGAATTAGCAGAGCTTATAGGAGCATTAGATAAGTTTTGGTTTATTTTATTTCTTTGGGTATAGGGGTTAAAAATATTATTTACAGAAGTAGAAGTTAAGTTTTCATTTGAATGCATATCTATTTCAGCGAATGAAGCAAGATGAAATGTTTGAATATTATAATTTGGCATTGTTTAATTGTATAGGTTTTAAAAAAATCAGATAATAAACAATTTTCGAGTGATTTTATATATTTTTTGATAAGTAGTTTTATAGAGTAGCAGATAATTGAGTAGCATATTGATAATCTTATTTGAAATGGAAGAATATAGATAAACGTTATCAGTATTTATAGTAATTCATTTGCATATATGGATAAATTTTATAGGTTAAAAAGCAAGTTTTACAATGTAAATTTACATGAAAAAATGTATATAATTATATATATTTTGTATATAATTATATAATTGTATAGATAATATTATTTGTAAGAAACAATAAATTGGTTTAATGAAGTACAGTAAGGCAAATAAAAAAAGTGTATTATCATTAGAATTCAGCATAAATTTAAACAGTATATATGCTATAGAGGACTTTAGGAATATCTACTAAAATATATCAATATTTTTAACAAAATAATATAAGTTATATATACATAAGGTATTAATTTTTAAAAAGATCACTTTAATATAAATAATTAGATAAGTGATAGCAATAAAGCAGTATAAATTTTATTTATCAGATATATTTAAGTAATAAAGAAAATAGCACATAATAACACAAGCATTATATATATATTTATGAGCGTGATGCAATAAGTTTAAAAGTAAAATATCTTAAAGAAAGTTTAATACATAGATAAATTTAATGTGAGAAAAGCGTAATTTGAATCTATTTTAAAAATAGATTGTTTTTTTTTTGAAAATGATGTATGTCTTTGGCGTTTTGGTGGGGGTTCAGAAGGAGGATCTTTAGAGACAGGAGAAATAAATTCAGAATCAACATTAGGTGCTGTATCATCTTCTATATCGAATGAAGATTTATCGTTAGTAGAGGTATCCTGGGGTTTGTGATTATTGCTGTTAGAAGGTATTGTAGAATTTGAGTTTGTGGATTCAGAGGTAGTAGATATAGATTTATTTTAAATATGAGAAAGGACGTCTATAAAGTTGATAGAAGATGTATTATCATTTGTTGATTTTTTAGTAAATGCTAAATGTAATGGGACAGGTTGTTTTTTCTGGAGTGGAGCAGAGGATAAAAAAGCATATTTTTTCTCAATACTATTGAGTTAAAGATCAAGCTCTTCATGTGATTGAGATTTTGATTTATTTGAAGTTGATGAAGATTGGGCTTCATTTACATATATCCATTCTATTTCTGAAGCGATTATGTGTGGAGTTTTATTTGAGCTAACTTTTAGCCTTCCTATAATAGAAAGCACTGTTTTCTGAAAATTGTTCTTCACAGCATCATAATGTTTATTTTCATTTCTATAGAAGACAATAACTTTTGAAGAAATATTTTTAGTATTAGTAATACCATTGTATAATCGTCTAGCTAGCATAAAACTTTCTCTTCCTCTATTATTGTTGGAAAGATAAGAGCCTGGTATAGCCATAGCGGAGTAGAGAAGTAAAGGTAAAGAATTCAGAAGATTATCATAAGTAGGAATATAATCAGGGTCAGGAGACAATATTGGTGTAACCTGAACTAAAGAGAGCTACAGAATAAAGAAAATTAGTATATAGAATTACAAAGGAATTTGGAATAGAAAAAAGATATACATATTCCTTGTCTTCATTGACATATCGGCCAACCATTAGAACAATGGTATTTTTTAAAAAGGAATTATCAATGAATCGGGACTACCAGTGTAACCTTTAAAAAAGTTAATTCATTAAATTGGTCACCATTAATAGTAACCCGGTATAAAGCAGTTCCATTGATGAAGTTATCAGATCTACTAACAGTCTTAGTGAAGCAGAAAGAGATGAAAATAGAGGACATATTTTAATTTTGGTAAAGGTAAGTTGTTAGGTGCAGAGAGAATATAATTAATTCTTTTTTTTTTAATTGAGGATATAAAGATTATTGGAGTTCTATTCTTTTATATCTGTTTGAGAATGTTGGGATAAAAAGAAGATAAAATCAAAAAGATTTATATTACATAGTTACAATCTATAGAGCGATATGATGAAGTAAAAAAAAATTAGATAGATTCTACATTTCACAAATTGAATATCTACTTTTAGTGTATGACAGAAAAAAATAGTAATGTGGCTTTGCTGTCGCGATCTAATGATAACAAAGAAAATGTTTTATCTAGATAGATAGAGATAAAAAGTAATAAGAGGTTTTACCGAAGAGGTAAGTGATTAACTTTCCTGATTTATAAGTTGTATATTTGAATATATGTATAGTGTATATAATATCATAACAAAGCTTTTATAAAGTATATAAATATTAATCAAATAACAATTTAAATATAAATAGTCTTTGAAAAATAATATGAGCAGTTGAACAATAGGATGATTCAAAAGCAAAGAAAGAGAAAAAATAATATGGAAGTATATTTTTGCGAAGTATTGGTATTTTTTTGAGGAGTAAAGTATATTTGTGAATTATATTTTAAGATTTAAGTAGTTATGAGAGAAAATTTAATCTAGAATACAATAATAATAAGATAATATTAAAGATTTATAATAGATTTACAATATATAGTTATACTAAAATTAGACAAAATAGCAGGAATTGGTAAATGAGAGGAAAAAAAAATACAGAACAGTAAAATATGGTAAGTTTCATAGGATATAGAATAAGAATTTATATATAATACAGTATCATATAGGATACTGATAATTAATAAAAATAAATTAGGTTAATTAAGGAATTTATTTTAAATTTTAAAGAACTAAATATAATATTCGTATATTTTAATAACTTAAAATCCTGAATATGCCATATATATAGAGATGAGGGACAAAAGAGCATAGGCTTAGTAATATATCCATCGGAAGATAGAAAGACAGTATACAAAGAAATATATTGTAAAAGAAATCGTAAATATTATGTAATCAAAATATTGTATACACCAATTGTAATAAGCTTTTTTAATTTCTGAATAATTTTCATTGATAATTATTTTATATTAGATACTAGTTTTGACAGGTTTTGCGTTAGAAAAGTTTGTAATTACTATAGGCACGAATATACTATAAATAGTAAGGTCAAAAGATCGTATATACAAGTTAGTAATTACTATAAATATAAATTAACCATAAATAGCAAGATCAAAAGATCGTATGATTGCTGAACAATAGAGTGATTATAGTTAAGAATAGAGTATAAAGTTCATTCGTTAGGATTATCATAGCTATTTTAAGCATAGCAGAGAAATGATGGATAATTGGTTACTTAAATCGGAAGATAATAGAAGCATAATACAAAAAAAAACAATAATGATATATTTATATTGGCATCAGCAAAAATATATATGCGTAAACTTTCGTAAGTTTTATGGTACGTAAGAAAATCGTAAACCTACGTAAAATTTAGCGTAAAACTACATAAATCTTACGGTGCGTAAGAAAATCGTAAATTTATGTAAAAATTTTACGTAAATTTACGAGTTTCTTACGCACCGTAAAAACTTACGAAAATTTACGGAAGTATATAAAAATTTATAAATCCTAAAATTTAAATCTCAAG